ACCCACCCTGTACCAGGTACACGACGCCGGCGCCGTAGAAAGAAAAGTGAGATAAAAAGAAGGGACCCCGCTCATCCAAAACCTAACAGAAGCGGCTACAATTTCTTCTTTTCTGAGCAGCATGCAAGACTCAAACCACTTTACCCAGGGAAGGATAGAGAGATCAGTAGGATGATTGGGGAGCTATGGAACAAAATAAATGATTCCCAAAAAGCGGTAGGAAATTTTTACATCTTATGTTTGATTCCATTTCCTTTGTGCCATTTCTCCTGATTAACCTTTTGAGTTCATTGATTTCTCTGCTGACCAGGTTTATCAGGATAAAGCTCTTAAAGATAAAGAAAGATACAAAATAGAAATGGAGGGTTATCGAGAGAGATTGAGAACGGGGAAAGTTATTATTGACGCAGTTCCACTGCAGCAGTGGATACCAGGTAAAGATTCCGAGATGGTGGAAGCAAGTGTCAGAACTGAGGAAATTGGAAGGGGGTCTCTTCAGAATGAAGTCTGTTCCAGTGAAAGTGATTCTGAGGATGATGATAGAACTGCAGAAAAAGATTCGGACATGGAAACTTCTCCAGTATAGGGATTGGGTGCTGATTCTGGCGACATGGATATTGTGGAGACTTCAGCTGAGGTGACAGGTTTTAAGTTATCCAAGAGAGATGAGGATGTTGGAAAGGCTGGCAACTCAACCATGGAAAACTAGGAGAGCACTGTACTTGAGACTCGGAAAGAAAACGCACATGGTGACAGACATTGAAACTCTTACGGTAATTTTACCTTCTAGTTTTCTTAATTGCCTAGAACTCATTCCTTTTATTTTTCGGAGGTAGTGTTAGTCATGATATAGTGTAGAGCAGGGGTTTTATATCGAACTTCTGACAGATTGGTGGTAAGGTGAAATCTTGACGCATTTGTCGAACATTGCGGTTTCATCTCTCAACCTATGCTCTAATTGCAGTTTCTGGAATGATATTTTATGAGAGTTAGATCATTACTTCTTGTTCATTGAAATGGGAGGATCAGATTTTAAATGATATGTGCAGCTTCTTGTGGATCATGGATAATTTCTATCATTAAATTTACAAGTGTGATTTACATGCCTAATCACATCACATATTGACTCTCCAAAATGTGTTCACAAATGTGATAGTGATGTGTTGCATACAGAGATCCTAATGCTGATACATTAAATTTACAAGTGTGATTTACATTCCAGAATCATGCATATTCCTCGATAGCTGTCTTTCATTAATGAATGCAAGCTTCTGCCTTGTAGCTAGCCTTTGTCCAAGTTGGCAACTTATATTTGGTAAGCTCTAGTTCATAGTCAATTTATCCAGCTTAATGTTAGAACAATTCAGGAAGGAAATTTGTTGGTGGAAACCATGATGAGCATTGAAATCAACTTTATATAGTTAGCCACTTTTTTCTATCTTTGCCTTAAGTCAATCTTACCTCGTATCACAACCCGATTGCTGGATATATAACCGGCATATAAATAAGGTCACCCTCTAGATTTCTAAATCCATATGAACCCAAATATCATGACCTGATTTCCGGATTCATAACCGGTACATAAATAATATCCCCCTTCAAGGTTCTTTATCTGTATAAACTCAAACTTACATATGAACATATCATTTAAATAACTCAATTAGAGTTCAATAAAATAGTAACTACAAAATTAATTTCATAATATAATTTGATTATTTTAATATAAGAGTTAATACAAATTCATAATTATAAAGCACTAATTAAACATAAAAAAGTACAAATTACAACAAAAGAGCAGGTTCTGAAGTTCTAACAAAAATAACTCGCTAACAAGCTATCAACATGAAAAAATAAATAATAAGAGGGTAAGTTCAACAACTCAATGAGTAGATAACATTCAATATACATACATGAGGTAGTATAACAATAAGAAATATATATACAATTATAACTCTAGGTTCTTATAGAAAGGTTTCTCAAATAGGTCATAACAAAATTATCATAAGGTAAAGCTCGTCAGAAAATTAAAATATAATGAGCATGAAGCTTTGTATTGTGAGATGATTAATCCACATAGGTTAATAAGTCCCTCGATCGATTAGAGTTTAAATACGATTGCACAAAGACTAATATTACCATGTTAACATGAGTATTCTGATTCACATACCATAGATTCATAATCATAATCAAACAAACATATTCATATCTCAATGCTCAACTCATGACATTAATCAAATGAAGAGCTATCAACTCATAAGTTAATTCAAAATATATATTGGTTCATATCAAAAATTCAGATTCAACAATCAATCATGCTTTGTCGTAACAATGATAATAATCAACATATATATTATCAAGAAATATGATTCAATTCATATTAACAACTCAAATATTTATAATATTTCTTATGCATATGAAAAATTATCTAGTCACCTGACTCAAAAGCGAACCAAACTAAAAAATAGATTACAAAGGAAATCCTACTAATGTCTCGCATGTAAATTATCAGAATTATCTAAATATAAAGGAGACATATTCAAAAATAACTTGAAAAGAACATACAACCTGTTTAATACACTTAACTAAGGGTTTATTCCATTACTCTATATATTTTTGAACTAACTAGTCATTTTTCCTAAAAATCAAGAAATTACTACACGACAAATAATAATAAGACTTGATAATAATTCACTAAATAATAAGACTTGATAATAATTCACTAAATAACCCTCCTTTTCTTTTCTTTTTCTATTTATACTTATCATGTTTTATTCAATTACTACACGACACCTTATTCATTTATACCTACTTCTAAGCCTCCAATAGTTTTGTTACCTTTTCATATTCTCTTTCATTTTCAAAACATCACACCAAAAATGCAAACTCTCTCTCTCTCTCTCTTTATAATAAACAAAACAGAGTTCTATGTAACATGATAAAATAAAGTAATTGTCTTAAATACAAGAGTTAAATATAAATTTTGTAATTGTGAAGCTCTAACTAGACATAATGGAATAACATTAATTACAATAAAATAACAGGTTTTGAAATCTAACAAAAGTAACATGTTAACAAGTTATACACCTTAAAAGGATAAATAACAAAATGATGGGTTCAACAATTCAGTAAACGGAAAACATTGAATATACATATACAATATAATACAACAATGAGGAACACACACACACATACACACATAATTATGGCTTTAACTCTTCATAATTCAACCTTCAATATATAAGAACTCTTTAAAACTAGAGACAATCTTTTCGTAGTACTCTCCCAAACTAGATCAGCCAGTGATATTGCACATTTCCCAAATTGAAATCCGAATTTAATTCTTTAAAGTCAAGAAGGTGTTCTTAATAGGACATCAAGTCTCTATTAGTGCACAATACATGTTATTCAAACGACAATAACCAAAAGAGATTAAATGGATTGCATATGCTAGTTTGTTATTTTTCTTTAATAGTAATCGATAGGCTTCTATAGACCAATCCTAAAATCCTTCAAAATATTGAATTCCTTATTGTGAATCAAGTTTATTTCCCCACATAAGTTTTCTTTTGTTAATTAAGTTTTCCATGCAGGCTTGTGAAACATCCTGCTCATTATCTTGATAGGAAAAAAAAATAAAGTTGGTTAATGATCTGACACAATAACATAACCTGACATCATTCTTCCTTTTATTGGGTACTCATTAATGGTCTTCATATCCAATTCTAAAAGAAGAGTTATCCCTTTAACACCGTAATAACTTGTTATGGGCTCATGTACTATAAGTTTGAGTTGTTTTGTCTTGCTATTATGATGGTATTTCACATCAATTCCTAGACAGTAATTGTGTTTTTCCATTTGGTTAAAACATATAATATTAGTAATCGATTAAATAAATAAATATGAATGCTTAATAACAATCTTGAACTTTACTTTGAGAGTAAAAGTCATTCCTACAAATAAAATAAGGTAAAAAAACAAAAGATCTAAGGTAATACTCACCAACCATCTATCTATTCAAGTACACTCAAAGCTCCAGGATCTCAATGACCCCTCGAAAGAATTCACTGAAGTTTCAAGTTCTCAATGATACTCCAAAAGAATTCATCAAAGTTAATGTCTTCAAGGATCCTTTAAAAGGATTCTTTAAAGTTTCAAGTTTCCAAAGGATATTCTTTTAAAAAGGTTTGTCAAGTTTAATGTTATTAGGAATAACCTAAAATAATCACCACCTAATTTTTAAACTTACAAGGATCTCATTTTAAAAGATTCACCTAATTTCATATCACCAGGTATCACCTAAAAGGATTATCAACCTGGTCTTTTAGATTACAAAGATCCCCCTTAAGAAGTTTCACTAAATCTCCAAGCCTCTAAGGGTTCCCTTGAAAATGTTTGCCTAAATCTCCAAATTTATTAGCTATAAAGTGTTCCAATGCACTATAAAATTCTTGAATCCTATAAAATATATAATTAAAAAAATTAAGAGAATTTGGAGAGAAAAAGATTGAAAAAAAGACAAGAGAAGAAAAAATGAAATAAAAAATCCTTTAAAAAAATAACCGAGAAAAAATTAGGAGGAAAAAAAAAGGCTAATAAGAAAAAAAAGTCATTTTCTCCAACCCAAAAGTTACCATAGAAATAGCATGAATTTTCATCCTTCTCAGTTAAGATAATTTAATAATAACATAGATAATCAAATTCTTTATATTATAAAGCTTTTCAAAGGATGCATCTTCATAAATTCTAAGCTATGAACATGGAATAGAGGCATAATAGACCAAATAACTACCATCTCTAAATTTTCTAATCTAGTTACTACTTTTTTCCCTTACAAATCCACCAAAAGTAACTGAGAATACCAACTTAATAGTCAACCCAAGACCTAACCTGAAAATCACAAGCTCTAAAAAAATAAAAATAAAATCCCTAGAGTAAAAAATTAGTGCTATATTAAAGAAACATAAAGAATAGAGTAATATGTTGAAGAAACAGAGAAGACAAAATAATCTTTTATTATGTTTTATGTTACAACACACACACACACACACACACACACACACACAAAACGAGGAAGGATGATGGCTATTAAAACTGAAATTCTGCAATTTATGTGGCAAGAGGAGCCTATGTTGGAATCAAAATTAATTTGTTGCTTTCCTCAAATACTCTCCCTCAAGTTAGATCAAGGGGATTGATTGAGCCAAGCTTGGATAGTAGATGATGAAAATGAGCTGAAGTCAAAACCTTTGTAAATATATCAGCCAGTTGATTGTGACTACGAGTGTAACATGGTTTGATAATCTATGATTGAACTTGTCAATGGATAAAATAAAAATCAATTTCAATGTGTTTAGTTCTTTTATTGAATATAAGATTAGCTGCAATTTGCATGACAACATAATTATCACAAAATAGAGTTATTGGAATTCTGCTAGAAAATTCCAAATCTAACAAAAAACCTTTAAGCCAAATTAATTCACATATCGCAGATGCCATTGTACGATGCTCACCTTCAAAACTAGAACGTGCAACAACTTGTTGCTTTTTACCATGCCAGACAAATCAGATTACCACCAACAAACATGCTAAAATCAATGGTTGATTTGTGATTGATAGAATTGTCAGTCCAATTCAAATCACTTTATCCAATAATCTGTGCATGGCCATGATTAATCATAGCAATCCTACGACTAGCAAAACCCTTTAAATAGTGTAAAATTCACTTAACAATACTCAAGTGAAAAAATGTAGGAGTATGCATGAACTGACTAATAAGGTTCATTGTGTAGGTGATATCAGGTCATGTAATAGTAAGATAAATGAGTCTACCAACAAGATGTTGATAGTAATTAATAGATCGAAGAGGTTCACTAGTTGTTCCAAGCTTCAATTTACTATAAAATAGAGTAAGGACAAGTTTGGCATCTGTCATCTTGGTATCTTTATGCAAATCAAGAACATACCTACGATGCTTAAAGAATAATTCTTCATGCAAAATAATCATTTCAATCCCAAGAAAGCATCTCAAACTGCCAAGGTCTTTAAAGGGAAAACATTATTGTAGAGTAACCTTAAGGTGAGATATTGATTTGCCATCTTTTTCCATAATAATAAAGTCATCAACATAGATAAGAACCATTATTTTGACAGTTGGTCCAAGATGAAAAATAAAGAGGAGTCTACATTACTTCATCTGAAGCCAATGTCTTTAAAAACAACACTCAATTTTGCATGACAAGCTTGTGGAGATTGCTTCAACCCATAAATGGATTTGTGAAGTCGACACACTAAGTAGGATTTGAATTATAAGGGTAATGAGGGGGCAACTTCATGTAGACTTCTTCTTCAAATTTTTCATGCAAAAAGGCATTCTTAATATCCATTTAACATATCAACCATCTATTATTCATAGTCACTGAGAGCAAAACACGAACAGTGTTTATTTTACAACAAGTGCGAAAGTTTCCTTGTAATCTACGCTGAAAGTTTGAGTATAGTTATAAGCCATAAGACGTGCCTTATATCTATTAATAAATCCATTTGAGTTGAACTTGATTTTATACACCTAGTGACTGCCCACAACATGTTTATCTTTAAAAAGTTTGACAACACTCCAGGTTTTGTTTTGATCAAGATCTTGCAGCTCATCATGTATAGCATACCACCATTCATTTTATGAATTTGCCTCTAGAAAATTATATGGTTCATGCACATCAGAGATAACAGCAAAAAAGTTAATATGTTATGCTGAGAGATGATAATATGTAAGGTAATTAGAGATGAGATGTTTTCTTGCATAAGTTACAAAGTCTTGTAACTTTGTTGGAGGAGCACAATGACAGGTTGGATTCCTACGGGGCTGTAGAAAGGGAGAATAATTGGTAGGATTACCTTCAGAATCCGTGATAATAGGAATAATAAAGGGGTGATGAGGAGATTGATCAACAAAACAATCTTCAGATTTTAAGATAATAAGAATGACAGTTCTTGAATCAGAATGCATATCTACAATTGTGGTGGATAAGTGCCTATCATGATTGTTATTTTCATCAACTCTATAATCTATAGGGCTGTGTTCAAAGTATGCATTAGAAGGACTAACATCCCCTTCATTTGTAGCCATACCATTAGGGAAAAAAAGGAGTGTTGTCTGTAGCAGATATTGTATTTGAAGTAGAGGCCAAATCTATACAAGCAACATTCAATTGGGGAAACAATTATATCAAGTCTTTTTGGTGATTTCTGCTAAAGTATAAAAAACCTTATTCAAATCAAACATCTCTTGATATGAACAATCTTTTTTAGGGAGGATGGTAGCATTTATATTCCTTTTATGTTAAGGAGTAACCCAAGAAAACACACTTAACTGCCTTAGATCAAGCTTGTCTTGATATAAAGTTTGTATATGAACGAAACAAGTGTGCAACCAAATACTCATAAATGAGATAGATCAAGTGGTTGTTTTTGCAAGACTTCAAGAGGTAATTTAAAATGTAACATTCAGCTAGGTAGTCATTTGATTAAATATACAATAGATAACACTCTGTTAGACCAAAATGATTTAGGAATATGCATATGTATAATTAAGGCTCTAGTTTTTTTTCAATAGGTCTCTATTTTTATGCTTAGCTACCCCATTTTGTTGAGGTGTGCCAACATAACTTGACTGATGTAAAATTCCATGAGTAGCTAGATATTGTATCATATTTTTTGACATGTATTTAATGTCATTATCAGATCAGAGAATTTTTATGTTTGTAGAAAATTAAGTCATAATTCATATGAAAATTTTAAAAAACATGCACAATTTTACTCTTGAATTCAAGAGGTTAATCTATGTAACACGAAAGAAATCATCCATAAAGGAAACAAAATATTTATAACCATAGTTCCAAGAAAGATTCTAAATAGCTGAATATTTTAGTAATATGATTTTCCATATAATTAAATAACCAAGACATAACAAGTTGGTCCTTACATTACCAAGCATTATAAGTTGGTGAAAAGATTAAAAAAAAAAGGTTTAATATGGCCATTAATATACCCAAATTTGGATCTTCCACCCACAGCTCTTAACAAAGGGAGATAGTTAAATTCATTTAGTAAAACTTAGCCTAAATGTTGATTAGGATTTGGCTCTCCTTTCAGCATATTATAGGATCTATTAGTGTCATCAACACTATCAATTTTGAAGAAGTCTTCCATAGGAATTTCAACTAATCAGTAAGGTTTGAAATAAGCAAAGTATTAGGAACCTATTCTGATACCATGAAGACAAAAGAATCTTGTATTATGTTTTATGTTACAGCAACACACACACACACACATACACCACGAGGAGGCATGATAGCTATTAAAACTAAAACTCTGCAATCTACAATCAATGTTGGAGTTGGATTCTTTAATTTGTGTGGCAAGATGTCTGTGTTGCAGGAGGAGTCTCTATTGGAATCAGAATTAATTTGTTATATTAGAATCGGATTTAATTTATTGCTTTTCTCTAATGCATATATTTAAAATTTATGGTGAGCTTTATACCTAATTATTTTTATTTTTAAAGCTTTGGTACAATCTCTACAATACATTGATAGAGTATATATATAAAGTAAGTGTTCGTGTTATACTGGAAGATAAACTTCTTTTTCAAAGTAATTTCTATTTGAAAGTAGGGACATATTTTTAATCTTATCACAATTCTAAGTAAAAGAAGATAAATTTATTTATTGCACTAAAATTACAAAAATAAATTAATCTTAAAAGAGCATTCATGGACATTAAAATTTCAATAAATTTGGTCCAAGATTCAAATATCTCTATGACCAAACAAATTTATTGGGTTTGGAACTAAATTAAATTAAAAATTCAGTTCAAATACATTTCATGGTTTTTATTTTAATATCCTTCTATCTAAGAGTATTTTAAGTAATTTTGATATCAATTTTTCTAAAATATCATTTAAATGAAAGACATTTAAGGTAAATTACGCTTAACTTGTTTATAAATAAACAAAAAAACCACAAAATCAAACAAAACAATGAGAGAAAGTAGAAAAAAAAAAAAACAAGCAAGGACTAAGAAACAAGCATAAATATTTAAGAGTTCTCTTGAAACAATTCAAGTTCATCAAGTAAACAAATGATCAAAGTCTTTTCCTTCACTAAATTAAATCAAGTTAATATCGTATATTATTAATTAAAATTTTTGGACTCATGTAAGAATCTTCTCATTTAAAATAAGATTTAGATCTGAATATTAATTAAAAGATTTGTACCCGTAAAGAATACCTCAAGAGAGCTTCTACACTTTTTTTCTTGTAATTAAATTTATTATTGTAATTTTAATATTATCTTTAAATGTATTTTTTAATACATGAAATTTTATGCGCACTTATGCATGAAGTGTCATGTACTCATGGTTTAAGTTCAACTGAAGACTAGACATAACGAAAATTCTTGGATCACGAATTGCCTTTGCTTTTTTTATTATTCAAATCCTTCTTGACTTGTCTTAAACCCTAAAAAAAAACTAAAATGGTTTTGATAAAAATGAAGAATTAAAATAGGAGGCAACTTGATTTTTCTTTTCACATTCTGATGGGTTTAATCAAATTTTAATGGGTCATTTTTTTCTTTGAAACCATACGAAAGCCAATGATACAAAATCCTATTTTGTTCCCATCACGGGTAAACGGATGCGAGGGATGCCATCAATCAAATTGATCTGATATAAATCTGAAATTTGCTCATCTAATTTGTTGAAACAACAACGCTCATCTACATTAATTATATATAATGATTTTTCTTTTCACATTCTGATGGGTTTAATCAAATTTTAATGGGTCATTTAGTGTTTTGCTTAATATTTTCAGATTAATGTTTTAACGATGCACTCTTTACATGATTTAGTGTATTAAAAAGAGATTTTTTTTTAATACTGATTTAAAACTCAAAATTAAAAAAAAAAATTCAATCATGTAACAAGCCCTTTAAGATTAATTATTCAATGCTCTAGACCTCATTGTCAAATGGAATTTTCTTAATATACAATGCCCGACCAAAAATATAAAAGGGCATGCTCACAAAAAGATTGTTCCACCTATTTATTTTTCCTTTGACTTGGTAATAAAAAGCATGCCAACCTCCACATGCCAGATTTGGCAGCTACTCGAGTAGCCAAAAAAATGTCTTCCCCATTTCTAGTTTCAATCTTCAATTTCATGTTTCTTGTCCAAACCACCTCTTAAAGATAGGTGGAAAATGATATGGAGAAATGGGGGAATAAAATTAATTAAGGGAAAAGAAAACTAAACATTCTATAGAGAACATCAATATTTAAGCAAAATATAAATTTTAAGAAGATTGCATTGTAGATCCTAAAATCTGGCAATGAAAGAAATTTTTTAACAAAATTTCTTGTCTAGACAATCTTCACATCATACTAAATGTGAAAAGAAAGAAGGCAAAATGTTCATGAATCAGAGACTAGAAGAGAATCCCAAATCATGTCCATGTCCAGGGAAGGCATTCTACTTAACTGGACGGCTTCAGCATCAGATGCTACAAACTCTTGACATTTCTGGTTCTCGTGAATCACTTCGTGACATCCAGTTTTGCCTTCCAACTCAAATTGCAACTCTTCTCTTGCTGTGTTTTGGCTCAAACCTTTGGGTTTTGTAGCATTCGTGTCATGTATAATCTTATCTGGTGATGTTGGTGGTAGATCATCACTGTGCTTCTTTTGAACAGAAATATTGTTGCCTTGTGATATTGCTAATTGTAACTTTGCTTCAAGAAGGGAAGCTGTGGTTCCATTCAATGAATTGGCCTTAAGTTGATGCTTAAGATCTGGGAAATTCAAATGCGCATAATCTCCTCGTAACATGTAAGCTGCCGTGTCATAAGCAATGGCAGCTTCTTCTGCTGTGTTGAAAGTCCCTAACCAAACCCTCGTCCGGTTTCGCGGTAACCTAATCTCTGTAACCCATTTGCCCCAGTGCCTTTGCCTCACTCCTCTAAACAGCTTTCCCGGCGATGTTGAAGCTGATGAAAATGAAAGCTTTTGATGCTGGTTCTGCAATCTTCGACCGGTGTATTTCATCGGCTGTGTGGTCGTAGTTCTAAGCCAATAGTCATTAAATCCATTAATAGAATAGTTCGCCATGGTTTGATTTATTTTGAGCCAATCATTACTTGGTTGGAAATGAATTTGGCCTAGTTGAGGCATGGAGAATGAAGTGTTTGGAAATAATGACATAGGCTCACATCTTTGATCCTTGCCAAGCTGACCGACAGCTTGTTTGGGCTTTGATCCTTGCCAAGTTGTTTGAAAACTTGTTTGGATGAAAGCTTCTGGTTCCTGAAAAAACAAGGTCAAATTTGGAAATTTTGATGTGTTTGATAAGGAGGATGGAGAGGGAGGTTCAGATACTTGAGCTTGGTTATTTAGTGCTGGACAATATTCCGAGAAATTCACAGGATTAATGGAGCTTTCTTTGACAATATGGTCAGATATTGAACCTCCAGGAGAATTGATAGAATACAATCCTGACATAAAACAACTTTCATGATTTTGTTTGGAATAATCCTGTCTGCCAAATCCAGGGATGTTACCCACTAAATTGGTACCTGAAACCAGAACGTCTGCCGAAGAACTCGATTCCGAACTCGAAAACAATCTTTCGGGTGACGATTGTGATGGCGATTTCGTGCCATTATTTCCATCATCGACATGACAAGTAGCCCCAGCTAGAGCACCCCAAATGGTGGGATCACCAAAATACCTTGATCCTGTTGCCATTCCATGAAAACTACTATGAGCTGCCAATTCCGTGTGCATAAAGGTTTCCATTTTAGGAAACTGATCCTCCATACCAACAGCAACTATTTTCTGTTTGAATAAAAAACACAGAGATAGAGAAATGATGTAAATGAAGCCACCCCGTTATATATATTTATGCTAAAGCAACCATCATGTGAGACTGTTACAGGGTATTTAATTAAGTATTTGTTGGACAACAATATCAATAATATCTTTTAATCTCTTCACCGTAGTAATTTAAGTTTTATGATTGAAATTGTTTTTTTATTATATTAAATTTAAATCTCATTATTTTTATTTTATTTGATAAAATTAATCATAAAAAGGTGTGGGTATATATAAGTTTTAAATTTAAATTAAAGATTTTCACTTAAAAAAATATATTAGAAGATAATATAAATCATGTATATATTAGGATCTCATCTAATAAATTAAGTTGTTGGATTGAATTGATGTTTTGATATGGTATCAGAATCTTACTGATCAAACAATTAAAAGTTTAAATTTCACTACTCTTATTTTTTTAATTGAAATTAATTAATAATATAAAATAGTGCAAATCTATTTAAGTTTCAAGTTCAAAGAATTTTTATCTTAAAAAATAATATAAATTTTATATTAAAATCTTCTCATCTAATTATATAAACTTTTAAATTATATATATATATATTACTATCATAGCCATTATTAATTTTTACAAAAGGGAAGGGAAGTTATCGGACTGGTTCAAATCTGAGCTTGTTAAAGAAAGGAATAAGCTCCCCACCTACCATTTCGTGCTCTCCATTTCAAAATGTTTTGTCAATATCCAATCAAAGCCTGACAGCTTCGTGTTGCTTGTTGAAAAATGAAGAAGCTCAACTCCTTCCATTTTCGAGCTTTCCATTTCAAAATGTTGTCAATATCCAATCAAAACCTGACAGCTCAGTGTTGCTTGCTTACCTCTCTTCATGGGTTCATGCATGGGATGGATGAATATTCTTACATGAGACTGACGTCTTCAAAGGGCTGGCCTTAAACCCCTATTGGCATTAATTTGATGGCATAGTTGTTAGTGTATTTTTTTAGCAAAGATCATGTGATTTTCTCATTCACCCACATGTTATATCTCCCCCTTTTTACTTTCTCCTCATGGGATTTTAAAGTGGGATTTGTGCTAATTGTTAAACAAGGAACTAATTAACTCTTATAATTGATACTAATTTAAATTAGGCAAAAGATAAAACAAATATTTGATGCATAAATCAGCTAGCTCGTTGCGTAGTCTAATCTTTATGGATTAAAAAAGTTGGCCAAACTAAGCTAAGTCTCGATTGGTACTAATTAATTTAAATATATATCTTTTGGCAAAACTTCATTGTCAATATTATCATCAACACATCATTCGTTAAGTTTGAGCAGTTCTCACTTCCAAATTGAATTAGTTTTGAGCAGTTCTCACTTCCAAATTGAATGAATTATGTTTATATATATATATGAGGAAATCATGGCTGCCTTCTTTCTTTTCTTTTTTTTTTTTTTTGAAAATCATGTTTTTTTATACTATTAAATATAAACAATGTGAAAATCATGTTTTTTTTATACTATTAAATATAAACAATGTCCAAAGCTGAACACGCAAATATACCCTTTTTTTTTATGAATATCATTGCTGTCTTTTGAGATGTGTTTGGAGCCATTTATAGAATCACCGCAACAGCCAACAAGTAAGAAAGATAGGGTAAAAAGCAAGGCCACCCTTAAATTTTTGCCTTGAATGATTAGAATCCCTATTGGTGGTGTTAAGTGTGGTATGTGTGCGGTCTGTGTTTTTCTTTAAACATACATTTAAAAATATTTAATTAATTAACACACATCATAATTTTTTACATGAGTATAGTTAAGAATTCTCTCTTGAAATTTTAGTTAATAAATGTTTGGTTCAACGATTGAAATTGCGTTTCAGGGATGATGGTTTTCATGCAATTGAAACAAGATTTCAACTAGAAAGCCAAGCCAAACATTAAAAAATCTATAAATTATAATTTTTTCTAAATTTATTTTTCTAAATTATATTCATAAAGATTATCACAATATCAAACACCCATTTAATTTGCTAGCCACTTGGAGTAATCATTTTAAGCAAGGTAAAATTCCTATTAGAAAGAAACAAAGAAAGAAATTCCAAAGGGTTTGTTATTTATCACTTTTTGGATGTTCTCATTTAATTATTATTATTATGTGTTCAAGTTCTTCGAAGCAGTGTAGTTGTTTGTCATTGTTATTAGAGCGAGCACATGGTCCTTTGGTTAAACATTTAATCTGTCTGATTGATCATCAGTTGGTACAGACATGAAACCATGGTTCTCCAATGTTGCTTTCCCCCGTGTTTCTTTTGCCACCATTATTAAACAAACTTCTTTATTCCTTCAGGATTTTGGACCTCAAGACAATAAAACATAGTCTTAAAACAAAATTTATTATAAATTCACGAGAAGATTTAGATTGATTTATGGATTAACTGAGGTTGTCATTCTAATTAAAAAAATAAAAAAATTTAATCAATGAATTAATTGATAAATTTTAACGAGTCAAATCTAAGCTAATTAGATCAATCATTTTTTATTTTTTACCAATTTCATATCAACCCGCCAAGTTGATTTTGCTTTCAAAACAATGCAATAAAACAAAAGGGAATGAAAATATGCATCTTTGCACACATCACTGTGCCTTTAGGTTTTAAAAGAAAAAATGGGCATGTGGGACAGACACGAGCGATTGGTACATGGAAAATCATGCATGGAGTCTAAAGTACCTTATGCTGAGACTCTTCTAATGACCTTCCTCGTTCTACTTCCCTCCCATCACTCCCTCATTTCATAGACAAACATGTAAAGTTTTTTATTCAGAAGTGAGTGGTAACATGACTGGAATTGATTGCCAACTCACACAAGTTTTGTTTTCTAAGAAAAAAACAAAGAAGAAATTAAGGATTCAAAGTTGAGGCTATTTGGACATTCAACAGACCTATGTCTATTAGACATGATAATCTAATGTATACAACACAAATGCGACTGTTGTTCATTGCACTATCTTTCGCTCTTCCTTTATACAATTAGCTAGGTGAATATTCTACAAATGTGGTCTCACGTAGAGAGAGAGAGAGAGCTATGCCCTAATTGACAATTAATTATTTCTAAATTTGGCCTCTAAACTTCACAAATTCTCTCAAATTAAACCTTAATTGTGGGTTAAGCCTCATGGCATTATCAAATAAAATATTGCACTTGTAGGATCGAACTCAAGCTGGCCATAAAAAACATAAATAGAACAACATCTTCATGTCTTGTGCCAAACCTCGACTAGACAACTTCCCTTCTGCTTTTATCTTCTCTACTTTATCTTTTTAGGTTTCTCAAAAACTTCTTTCACCAGGCAATTCATCCCTTGGATAACCACACTTTTAAGCTATCCCTTCTAATCTTGTCAAAACAGCTCCACAATATCATACATAATATTCTAACATGCCCCACTAATTTAAAGATAAAAACCACTGCCTGATCAAAGTGGTACATACATAGATGTGTTCTTGTACAAATGATTCTCTCTTTTGTTTTAATTACACCACTTCATCTTTCTTTTCTTTCTAATAATAAAAATTATATATGAATAGAAGAGCTTATCTAGGAAGGGAATCTAGCTATCTTTAAATTTAAAATGTATCTCTTTATGCCTGATTGGCAACGTGATGCACTCTTCTTGCACCAGCATTCATTTCGCCAGCAAAAACATCAAAAATAATGCTTTTACTATGTTGCACCGTGTTGATAAACGGTAACCTTTTACCAACCTAGCTACCACTAATACTCTTAAATTACAATCATTCTCGTCATCTTATTATTTCATGCTAATTAATCCGAAGAAAACAAAGGAAACAATAGATAATACTATTGGCTGGTTGATTGATTTTATCCAATTAATTAAATAAAACCCACAGGCGAAATGATAAATTGATGCACAAACATTCAATGGGGCAGGTCATGGATATATGAATTTTTCTACAATGACAGCAAACCCTTAAGCAAGATAGAATAGAAAATGTTATCCTCATTATGCTGAGAAAACTATGTTACACCAACCTATCTCCTCATGAGCACCATCATGACATCCACCAATGTACAAGCAAGTTAAATGAAATTTAGAACCCTAGCTAGACCCAAGTGCCCTTTTCGGCGAACATCTCAGATGATAAACATGGTTGTCACTGTCATCATCGTTATAATTATCATCAAGTGATTAGTTTAATGATAGGTTTAGAGTAGACAAAGTTAATGGTGTTATCGCCAAAATAGTGGGCGAAGTCACCGGAATAAGACAGTGGTTAGGTAGACAAAACGAACGTACGTATAGAGCAAGGCGTTTGCAAATTAATGGGGTTGTTACATGTGTCAAAATGTTTGTGGTCATCCATCCATGACCACTAATCTTTCACTTTATATATATATAGCTTTCACTATTATCATGAAAATGATCTTGAAAGTTGAAAATAAAGCAGTGCAAATTAATGGAATAAATAGGGATGTTTAAGAGGTATATTTTCTAGCACAAGTGATTTGGGATAAAATTAGTCTTGGCCATAGCCGGTGAAGATAGAAAAATTAGAGAGCTTCTGGACCTATTTTAGACATGGGGATCTTAGTGATATTAATTAATTTTAAAACATAATATAGATGTACTAAATTTGAAAATTCTAATTTCAAAATATTAGATTGATGATTAAGAAGGTTATTTTTTCCTTAATTTCTTGATTTTTTTTATTCGGATTTGTCAACAATTAAAAGAATTTGATTATTTTTTTAAAAAGTATTTATTAACGATTAATATACAACTTGATTTAATGATATTTTTTTATCTATGAATGAAAAAAATAAAAATTTTAATTCAAAAAAATATTTATCAACTATTAATATACAACCTGATTTAATGATATTTTTAACCTATGAATGAAAAAAATAAAAATTTTAATCCAAGAATTTGATTTGAAGTTCAGATTAAGTGAGATAAAATGTTAAAAAATAAAATGATTAATAGAGTTATCCTATTTTTTAACTCATCGGTATTATTTGGCA